CAATCAATTTATTCACTACAAGCTATCAGTCTTAAAAATCAACTTATGGGGATGGTTCTTAATAAGTATGCACATATTCTTTAAATCAACTGATACACATCCAAGTTCTAAATTAATAGGAATAATTCCTGTTGTTTGTTTATCATTGAATAAGAGAGTTAAAGTTTCTGAATCACTTTCCCCTAATTTATTCATTCCTTGGGCTGTTTCATATAGCCATGTGAAATAGCATTTGAAGTTTGTGTTTTTAACAATATCACAGTTCTCGTGCCTGTCTTTACCAGACAGACGGGATAGCATGAGCAGAACTTTTTCAATGAGATAACCTTCAGCTGGAATACCTAATCCATGATAAAGGTATTTACAATATTTGCTTTTGGGTTCTTTAATTAAATTATCGAATTTAAACTCTTCAGGCTGATTAAACTGAAAGCAGGCTATAGGAAGACATAACGTATCACTTAACCTATTGTTAACAACATACCCAAAAGGAAATCTTGATACTTGTCTTGAGTCTATAACATATGTTAATAACAATACACTTCCATACATTTTTGAAAGGGATGAATGAGATGCAAAATATTCTCCTTCTCCAAATTTTTGCACACTTCTTCTTTTTGTATCAAATCCATCTCTCATTATTGATTCTGCATTGTTCCAGCTTGTACCATGCCAACATAAGAATCCTCTTGTATTTAATGATTTAATAACTTTGTTTGTTAGGTTTTTTTTAACTAAATCTATTAACTTACAAGGACTGAATAAATTCATATTAAAACTGATGGTTACATTGTCTCTATATGAAAGTCCAGATTGGTTAAGGTATCGACAAATGTGTTTAACAAATTCATATGAAGTAATTCTCTCAATGAATTCTTCAATTAAATGGTTAGTATTGAAATAAAATTCATTTCTTTGTTTATTTTTTTTCAAGGCAGATCTAGATTTACATCTCTCCTCTTCTAGTTCTTTCTCTTTCTTAATTTGTTCTTTTTGTTTCTTAGTTATCTCATACTTGTTAGTAAAGAAATAAGTACAACAGTTGTGACAAAATGTCCTTTCTAAAGTTTCTTTATTTTCTTTACCAATTTCGATTACAGTATGACAACTTGGGCATACAACTGTCTCATCATCTTCTTCTAAACAAAGAAGAGTTAACAAAAGATTGTACTGCTCTAATGTTTCTCTGTTAATAACTCTTTGTAATTCATAAAACATTACTTCACTATTACAACGTTCACAACATAGTCTCTTCTTTTTTTCAATAGAGTATTTTACTTGTTCACACAAACATTGTTTACATAGGCTATGTGAGCATTGACTAAAAAGAATAAATTGGTCAATTGACTTATTCACTTTGCAATGAAAACATTGAGCTTCTGTATGTGATAAGAATTCTCTTTTCATATCATCAAGAACAAACTGAATCATAGCTCGTTGTCTGTGTTGAGGAGATCCAATAAAAGAGAACACATGAGTATTATCAATATATTCTAATTTATCTATATCAATCATCTTAATATCAAAGTCATTTACTATATCAACCAGATACAGATACCATCCATACAAAAATCCTATTCCATCATTTTCTTCTTCAATTTCATTTAATCTATTAATTATATTATTACCTTGTTCCTCTGTAATCCAAATACAACTCATAGTATATTCATTACATGAATCATTTTGATTGATAAATACTTCTATTGGAGGTAATTTGTTAATTGTAATCTCTTTTTTCCCAGAATAAGGATACTGAATAAACTCATCTTCAACTAATTTTAATATAACTCCATCTGGAGTTTCAACAAAAATCTTCATTTTAAGTTGCTGTGTTGTTTCATCAATACTGGCTATTCCTGGAAATACTGAATTTAATATTTCATATTCTTGTTTTAATTCTTCTATCTTCATAAACTAATATCTTTAAGGTATTTTTTTCAGTTTATATATGGTAAAATTACTTTGAGTTTTTAGTGTTGTGAAGTTTCATTTCATGAAACATTAAAATTAATGTTTTAATTATAATAAATTGTATTCCTTCAAATATATAACAAATAAAATGAATGAAAAATTCAAATAACAATCTCTAAATCAA